GGGGGGGGGGAGAGCTGGCTGGACGAGGGGTCCTCCCCGCCTGAATTTCTGAGATCCGACGAAGCGAAACAAATGCAAAGTTGCGAAAATTCACGATTAGCGCGCTGGACCCCATTTTTCTGCGGCACTTGTCGAGCCGGCTCGATCCGTGAGGGTCCCGGGGCCCGAAAGTATGCAGAAACGCCCGATTCGAAAATTTGCGGCGACAGGATCTCAGGGACCCTCCATCCCTCCTCCCTTCCTCTCCCTCCTCCTCGGGCTCGGGCGGGTGGTGTCAGAGTTCTTCAGTGGATGCAGCCATTCTCCCCTCCAGCGGCAATTGCCGCTGGGGGGGTGATTAAACAAGTGAAGCTGCAAGAGTGTTTTTGTTTCCCTGGTGGTCACGTCACGATTCGCACCAGCGCCGTTTGGGAACGCCTGGAGATTGCTCATTCCCAGGCGGGGTCGGCGCGAATGGTGACGGGGTCGGGCCGTGCAGGCGTCATTGCGAAAAAGCGGACGCTGCCTCCCCCCTTCCCTCCCTCCTCCCCTCCTGCCTTCCTCCTCCTCTCCTCCTCCTCCTCCTCCTCTTCCTCCCCTCCTCCTCCTCCTCCTCCTCCTCCTCCTCCTCCTTCCTCCTCCTCCCCTCCTCCTCCTCCTCCTCCTCCTCCTCCTCCTCCTCCTCCTCCTCCTCCTCCTCCTCCTCCTCCTCCTCCTCCTCCTCCTCCTCCTCCTCCCTCCTCCTCCTCACTCCTCCTCCTCCTCCTCCTCCTCCTCCTCCTCCTCCTCCTCCTCCTCCTCCTCCTCCTCCTCCCCCCCCTCCTCCTCCTCCCTCCTCCCCCCCCTCCTCCTCCCTTGCTGTGCGGCCAGCCCTCGGTGGCTCAGGGCCAGCAGTGCCGAGCGGGCGCGCGTGGCCCCGAGGACCGCGACGACGTGCCCCCCCTGAGGGCCGACGCCGAGTTCCCGCTGGGGCCGTACTCGCCCGAGGAGCCTCCCCCCCCCTTGCCGGGGGCTTCGGCAGCAGATCCTTCGGGAGCTCCGCACGTCCTCGGAGCTCACAGTCCTCGAGGCTCGAGTCTCTGGTGTGTCGGGGGCGGCCAAGAGGGGTGACGACTCGGGAGGGGTGGATATCCTGGCGTGGGCCATGATATTTCTCCAGATGTCATGTCGCCTCTTCTTATTTCATTACGTCCCTGGCCACCCCCATTGGGCCGCGCGGATGGCGCTGGCTATGATTTGCACCCCCCCATCTTGGACGCCCCCCTCTTGGTCGCCCCCGGGGAGTGCATCCGCGTGCGCTATGCGTCTGGTGATCGATGTGAGAGAGTACCTGTCGATCGTGGTTTCAGCGTCGATTGGCGTCGGCCAGGGTAGATACGCAAGAGCCAGCAAGATGACACTGGAGGCTCCCAAGAGTTGCCACCAGAGGAGACAGAGGCATACAGATACCGCTAGTTAGCCTTGCTCTTCTTCTATGCCATGCCTGGACTCACACCGAAGTTCTCGCCAGAGCGCACCCCGAGAGAGGTCCGGGGTTCTCCAGTTCCGCAGGGCTCATTTCGATTCCTCCGATACGATTAGATTAGATTTCGATGGATTCCGACTCCGATTCGATTTCGATTTCGATTTCGGGTTCCGATTTGGGATCCGATTCCTTATTGGAGGCAGACTAGCCTGCCGATTTCCGCCGATTCGACTTTTTCCGGCTCGGCTGCCGATTTCCGCCGATCCGATTCATTTCGATCGCCGATCCGACTTGTCGATTCGATTCTGGGCTCTCCTGGTTCCGGCGGGCCCGGCTGGCCCGATCCGATCCCGTTGTTCCGGCGATGCGATGCTGCCCGGCATTCGCCCGAGGAGCCACCCCCCAGGCCAAGGTAATTATCCGGCGATGTGTTTTTCAACCTCGGCGCGTGTTCCTCAAAGTTGGCATTTGGGGCGCCTTATCCGTCCGCAGACCATCCGAAATTCATCGGGGGCGACAAATTGGCACCCGGGAAGGTGTCGGGATTTCTGGGGCCGCGCGTTGAAAAAAACATATCTTCGGATGTCTGGGGGAGGGGCAGTTTCGGTCCGATTCGGTATCGGTTATGGCCGGTTCGATCTGGTTCCGATGTTCCAGCGATGCGATGCGGCACGATGGTGGCAGTGGCACTGCTGTGCATCCCTGGCGCAGCTGATGCAGCCCAATCTGGCTCATACCCCCATTCGATCGGGTTCTTCGGCTCGATGCTATGATCCTGTCCCCCCTGTGCTCTCGGAGGGATGAGGAAGGGAGGATGCAGCAGATGAGCACGAGGTGGTGAGAATGATGCGTTCCGAGGTATCCAGGATGTTCAGCGCGGGCTCCAGATAATCGAGGGCCGCTGGATGCTCCAGCTCCTATTGAACATGTCCTGAGTCATTCGCGAATCATGGCATCCTGCCGGGAGGAGAAATGGGGCAGGGAGGCGGAGGGATGAGGAATGGAGAAGGAGAAGGCGGAGGAGGAGGAGGAGGAAGAGGGGTACGAGAGGAGCCATGCGATTATCTCCTTGATGAGGGTGGAGCAAGGGAGGGGGAATATACAGAGGGCAGGGAGGGGGCAGGGAGAATGATGAGAGACGAGGAAGCGAGGAGGAAGGGGAAGGAGTGAGAAAGAGGAGGAGGAGGAGGAACCACCCCTTCCTGCTCCCCTCTCATCGTTCCCTTGACAGCGGGCGTGAATGGTCTGGAGTCGGGTGGCTTTAGCTTCGGCAGTGCCCTGGCATGATACTACCCAGCTCGAAACACCAGCGTTGGGGAAAGGGTCCCGGACTTCTGGGGGCCTTGTGTTGAACAAATGAAGACATCGGATGTACGGGTTGCCGAAGATGGTTTCGCAATTGTGTGTTGTGTGTTGTTTTCTTACGCTGTATCATTTTCCATCCCATCGTTGATACAATTTGACTCTGGTATGCTATGGAGCTCGTCTGATCGTCGGGCCGTCATCATTGTGGACGGACTTGTGCTAGGACCTCTGGTTCTTTGGATTCGTTGTAGCTGCTTATGCCGGGAGAGCCAGAGCAGCGAGAAGGCTGCCCTGAAGCCCGGAAAGGAGGACTCGTAAGTCAGTTTCGCGCGCACCTTACCCTGGTGGACCCGCGGATTCTAGAGGCGTGCGTCATTCCGCCGACCCGCAGCAGAACAGGCTCGCGATAGTGTCCGCGGCCACTACGCCGGGACGACCTTCAGCTGTACTGGAGCACGCACGGGTGGTGCCCAGAGGAAGTGCGGGTGATGTTGTTCCTGCTCCGCGGTCCCCCTGACGTCGGCCCATCACAAAAGCGGTGGGCGACGGGCGGTGGTCGTCGGTAGAGAACGCGTTCAGACAAGACCCCTGATAGTTACGCCGTCTGCTCAGCCTCCTCCTGTCCCCCCCTCCCTTCTCCCTGCAGGAGCAGCATGAGTCGGTCCGGAGTCGTTTTGGGTCAAGCCGTCCTTGGTTCAAGAGCGCGCACAGCCTACTTACACGTCTCCACACTGTACTTGCCCGGCGGTGACGATGATTGCGTTCCTTACGTTGTTCGCCTTGCCGTCGGTGGCCTCTTCTCTGTCGCTTCACAAGGCAGAAGCCGAGGAAGGGGCAGGCGACATGCTGTTCGCCTTGTCGTCCGAGGGCGCATCCCAGAAAACGGAGGCCGAAGAGGGGGCCGGAGACATGCTGTTCGCCCTGTCGTCCGAGGCCGAGGCCCAGCAGGCTGGGGAGCGGGCCGAGGACGAGTACACCTCGGTGAGCAGCCTCCTCTCCGAGGCGGAGGCTCGAGACGTCCAAAAGCAGCAAGACCCGGCAACCTCGCTTCGCGACAAAAATCCGATCGGGAGGTTCATCGTGGCTCCACAGGTAGCTCCACCAGGCCCCAGTGGCAGCGTTCGCATGAGTTCCCGCCTCGCATTTCCGCACACCCCGTACACGTTTCGTGGCCCCCTCCAACGGATGCTCCAGTGGCAGCGTTCGCATGAGTTCCCGCTCCTCGTTTCGGCACACCGCTCACACGTTTCGTGGCCCCATGGGGAGCTCCACCGAAGGCCCCAGTGGCAGGTTCGCATGAGTTCCCGCCTCTCATCTCGGCGCACCCCTCACACGTTGCGCGGCCCCATGGGGAGCTCCACCCAAGGCCCCATTGGCAGTAATCCTGAGTTCCCGCTTCGCATTTTAGCACACTTCTCACACGTGTTCCGTGGCCCCACAGGGATCTCCACCGAAGGCCCCAGTGGCAGGATTCGCATGAGTTCCCGCCTCTCATCTCGGCACGCCCTCACTAGTCTCGTGGCCCCACAGGGAGCTCCACCCAAAGAGTCCATATGCGGTTCGTCTTTCATTACGGCACACCTCTCACACGTTTCGTGGCCCCACGGGGAGCTCCACCGAAGGCCCCAGTGACAGGTCCACATGCGTCTCTCCACCCATTTCTTCACACTCCTCACACGTCTCGTGGCTCCAAAGGGCGCTCCACCGACGGCCCCAGCGGTACAGCCCACATGCTGCCCTCCATGGATTTCGGCGCACGTCTCATACGTTTCGTGGCCCCTCATGGAGCTCCACCGAACGCCCCACTGGCACAGTCCTCATGCAGTTCCCCGCCCATTCCGGCAATCCCCTCACACATCCTCACACGTCTCGTGGCCCGACAGGGGGCTCCACCGAAGGCCCCAGCGGCAAAGTCCACATGCGTCCCCCCATTTCGGCGCACCCCTAACAAATTTCGTGGCCCCACAGGGAGCTCGATCGAAGGCCACCGTGGCACAGTCCACATGTGGTTCCCCGCTTATGTCGGCACACCCCTCACACGTTTCGTGGCCCCACAGAGAGCTCCACCGAACCCCCCAGTGGCACAGCCCACATTTCGGCACTCCACATCCATTCCGGCGCACCTCTCACACCTTTTGTGGCCCCACATGGAGCTCCACCGAAGGCCCCAGTGACAGGGATCGCATAAGTTCTTGCATTTCATTTCGGCACACCCTTCACAAGTTTGTGGCCCCATACGGAGCTCCACCGGCTCCTGCGGCAAAGTCCGCATGCGTCCCCCCGCATGCATGAATCCTTCGCCAGGATAATGTTCTGCCTCCCAGGGCCCTCAACGGGCATCGGAACCGTAAAAACTACGCCGGAGGAAAATCCTGTCCCAGGCACGGGATCCAGATCTCTGGGGTCCACATTACAGAGATAGCGAGGTTCGGCTTGGCCTCCAGAAACACCTGGAGGCCGCAAGATTGCCAAAGGCATCCAAATTCAGAAAACTTCCGAAAACCGTCGCATACTTCCTCGTCTTCCTCACCTATTCCCGCGATGGGCGACTCTCACCGTTCACGCGGCTTGGGCCTTCTCGAGAGAGGCGCTTCTGCAGGAGGAGGTGGCGAGCGATCGTGAGGCGGCCGAGGATTGGGCCAACAGAAATATGCACATGCACCGATTCTGGCCAGTCCCTGGGTTAGTGAGGAAAGCGTATGCGCACATCCTGAGCCCAGGATGGGCCTGGCCAGGATCGGTGCAGGTGCATACTCCTCTCTCTTCTAGAGGAGGAGATCGCGCTCCTGCAGGAGGTCGATGCCGACGAGAGGGTGGCCGAGGAGGAGATGGATGCGGAGACCGATCCCGAGGCGCCCGCAGCCGAGGCCGCCCCAGCAGCGGAGGACCTTTGGCGGGTTAACAGGTTGGTCGCACACATCTCATCGTCGTCCGCGCAGAGGAAGGAACTCGAATAACACACATCGAAAAACACAGGGTCCGCGCGCATTTCTTGGATCGGCGCTGGGCCCCCCGGCGGCGCCTCCAGTGCCGCCCCTGGCGCGCTCCACGCGCCAGGGAGGGGGGTCCAGCGCCGATCCAAGAAATCCGCGCGGAGTTCTGAGCCATTATGCTTATGCTGTTGTTTGGACTTCAGGGAACTACCCCAACGTCAGTACCAAATGCGTAGCATCCCGCAGTTGCAGATCAGTGGGGAGGCGGGCGCGGGGTTGGCGGGCGCGATGGGGGTCGCGGGCGGGTCGTTGGGTGCGTCGCGGGGGATCGCGGGCGAGGACGACGACGGAAACAAACAACAACAACAACAACAACAACAACAACAACAACAACAACAACAACAACAACAACAATTACTAGCACGTGGGGACACACCGTTCTCACCAGTGCCAGGGTTTTCATAGGAGGCGGGCAATACCCCCACTTTGTGGGGGGGCCGGTTCAAGCTCTACCAAATTTCCAAACGACTCTTCGCCACCACCCACACCCAGCTTCCCGCCCTATGACGTTCGGACACTTCACTTCGTGGCATGCGGACGACCGTGGCTACTATTCAGGGCCCCGCGGCCGACGACGACGGCGTGCGCGCGCGAAGAAAAAACGAATGTGTCCCGCATGGTATTATTTGACAGGGATGATGGCCCTGGCAGGTGCGCAACCGTTGTTGCAGAAGTTCGAAAAAGTTGCTCGCAAAAGCCCGTTTGACAGAAATGATTAAAAAAGTGTTGGGTTTTCTACGAATCCGCAAGAGCGCGCGGGATGAAATGTTGTCAATTTTGTTTGAAAAACCATTGGTTTGTTGATGTTTTTATGTTAAAATCGCTACGAAAACTAAGGTTTTGGAAGGATTTCGTCTTGCGCGCGCGAACGTTCACTTTACCTTATTTGTTTGCAAGGGATTCTTGAAGTTAGGATATGTTAGAACAAGAAATGTCCACTTTAGCTTTTTTTTCTGCAAGGGAAAAGCGATCGTAACAACACAACCGGATCTGGATGACATCGTTTTACCTGAGACTTCCTCACGACAATGATGAAAATGTGGCTGCGGCCTAGGCGCGGCGGGGGGGCCATGCACCAGGGGCCCCAACAATAATTATTCTTAAGAAGAAAGAATGTTCAACGACAACAACAACAACAACCACAACAACAACAGCAGCAACAACAATAACAACAACCAGCAATCACAACAACAACAACAACAACCTATATAACCAGAACAACCACGATAATCCAGGCCACGGACTTCCATCTCAGCCACGCACCCAGAGGAGGAATGGCCGGTCGGCCCCCCGCTTCCTGAGGAAAGCAACCACACCAGCAACGCCTTCAGATGTACCTCGGAAGATCAGTCCTCACGACGAGGTGCGAACCTCTCCTGGTAAATCCATGGTTAGGGAATTGCCGAAACATACGCAGTCTGAGCTCCGCGATCTGTTGTTGCTTGGATCTGCGCTGGCCCCCCCTGGCGCCGTCCCTGGTTCGCTTTGCGCGCCAGGGAGGGGGGAGTCCAGCGCAGATCTGATACATCTGCACGGGCCTCCAAGATTTAGTGCTCATTCCCCAAGCAGTGCTTGCAATTAGGATTTCTTATTTCTAGTCTAGGGAACTGGGCCTGTCTGGCGGTCTGGCTGGTATGTTGTTGCCGTCGCCGTCCCGTCGCCGCCTCGTCGCCTCCCGTAACTGTGACTGGTTGTCGGTCTGGCGGCTATGTTGTCACCGTTGCCGCAGTCGCCGCTCGTCGCCACCATTAGATTGCACCACATAGAGTGCTTCGCATTGTTCTGCTTTGATTTCCATTGCTTGGCACTTCTTTGTTTTCCGTTGTGTTGTATTGTGTTGCCATTGCATTGTGTTGCATTGCGTGCTTTGCACAACACAGATGGCACCACGCTGGTTGCACAATATAGATCGCCAGTCACGTACTGCACCACATATGTCTGCGAATCCATCACACGGTTCTTGGCCCCAGAGTGAATTCCACCTAAGGCCCCAGTGTTAGGGCCCCCGTGCCTTCTCCGCATCATGTCGGCGCACCCCTCACACATTACGTGGCCCCAGAGGGAATTCCACCTCAGGCCGCAGTGCCAGGGTCCGCACACTTTCTCCACACCATTTCGCGCGCACCCCTTGCATGTTTCGTGGCCCCATAGGCGGCTCTAACGAAGACGCCTTCGCGCTGGCCATATCCCTCATCGTTAGGCGTGGTGCTCTCGCCTCAGCGCCGGTCACATCCCTAAGTGGGTTGTCCAGGGGGTTGTCCAGGGACTTGTTTGGACCATACTTGTTTCCATTGAACATATTGCGCGGTACTCACACAGCTGCATAAGGTTGGGTCCCTCGCCAGGCCATTTTTCTGACAAGCCATGTTTTGAAGCCTGTGACAACAAACCAACAGTTTCTGACAGGTGTTGACGTGCTGGCGCGGCGGCGCGCGCGTTTGGTTTTGGTGGAATTCGCTCTTGTGTAAGAGGTTTTGGGGGACATGGTCGTTTCGAGATACACAACTGCGCGCGCATGGTAATTAAACAGGGGCGAGGGGGGGGTAATACTGGTTGGGCTGGAGTTGTATGGTTTATATCGAAAATGAACGATGCGGCAGCATAAATTGCAAGTTGCAGCATCCCAGGGGGGGGCCCGATAACCCCTGGGGAGAAGGGTGGCAGAGCCTACGTTTCTTTCGAAAGGAGAACCCATGGATGCAGGCGAAACTGTGCCAGCTGTGTGGTGCAAGCTATGTGGTGCAAACGAGGCCACACAACACACGAGGCGCACGCAGCTTCCGAAGAATGGCGCGTCCGATTGGGGGCCGAATGGAAGGCATGAAACGATCCCACGCGGAGCAGCCCCAACGGAACAAAGAGAAGGGAGGCGACCTTCCAGAGTTGTCGCCCATGTGAGCGCAATGATCGGCTGATGGCCATCGACATCAAGACGTAACAAATTGCTACGACACGGCCTCCAATACGTCATCTGGGACCTGAACGTCGAGGGCACGGGAGGGGGGGAAGAGTCCTCGGCACATTGCTCACCACGTAGCGCGCGCACGCGAGGCGCCCACTGGCAGGCACCGGGCGAAACCTCGGCATACGCCCCCAGCGCGCGGGGCGCCCACGAGGCGCCCACGGGCGGGCACGGGCCGTGGGGCGGGCACCTTGCTGCGCAGCCGGCATGCCCAGACCGACCACCCAAGGAATGCAGCACAGAGTGCGAGCACTGTGTGAGGAGTGGGCTCTGCCTTCGAAGAAGAAAAATAACGCCATAAACATAAACTTTAAGCGCTCCGCGCGGATTTCTTGGATCCGCGCTTGGGCCCCCCAGGCGGCGCCTCCGGCACCGCCCCTGGAGCGCTCCGCGCGCCAGGGGAGGACCCAGTGCAGATCCAAGAAATCAGCGTGGAGCGAAACAAGCTTATGTTTATGTAAGTTTGATCCCTGCCTAGGCTCTGCCTAGAAGGGTTCTTACTCTCTTAGCTTAAAGGGGCCGGGCAGTGGAACACGCCCCGGGCGGTTCCCCCAGTCCCCTGGGAGCGGTTCCCCCCAGTCCCCTGGGAGCTTTAGCTTTAGCTTAGCTTTAGCTTAGCTTTAGCTTAGCTTTAGCTTAGCTGTAGCTTAGCTTTAGCTTAGCGTTTAGCTTAGCTTTTCGCTTAGCGTTTAGCTTAGCTTTAGCTTAGCTTTAGCTTAGCTTAGCTTAGCTTGAGCTTAGCTGTAGTTTAGCTTTAGCTTAGCTTTAGCTTAGCTTTAGCTTAGCATTAGCTTAGCTTTAGCTTTATATTATATTTAGCTTAGTTATAGCTTAGGGTTAGCTTGGCTGTTGCTCAGCTTTAGCTTAGCTTTAGCTTAGCTTTACCTTAGCTTTAGCTTAGCTTTAGCTTGGCTTTATATTAGCTTTAGCTTAGCTTTAGCTTAACTTTAGCTTAGCTGTGGCTTAGCTTTAGCTTAGATTTAGCTTAGCTTTAGCTTAGCTTTAGCTTAGCGTTACTGTTACTACTAATGCTGCTTTCCTAGGGGTTCCAACTCCTAAGTAGGGTCGCACTGGGATAATTCTGTTATACCTCTCCGAGCTTCTTCCTCAACCGACGTCCTGCATCATTTCTTGGCATCGCTCGGACGTGTACATGCTTATTTAGACGAGGCCAGCGCCAGAAAATCTGCCATCTTACAGCATCTTAGACCATCTAGCGGGAAAGAAGAACACGAAATCGGGAATTGCAACGGGAATGGACGTCCGAGCGATGGTCGGGGCTCACGTAACGGGGGTCAGCGCTAACGGGGGTCAGCCGAAGTCCTTTGGCTGACATGGGTTTGGCTGACACGGGTTTGGGAGCTACTGAGCGGCCAGCCAGGCTTCGCGACAGGTCCCTGGTCGACCTGGGTTTGGGCCGACCCGGGTCAGTCGGCCCCCGCGATGGCAAGATTCGGCGCCCCTCACGGCAGCACGACGAGCGCAGGAGGCGCCCGCCGCAGCCGCCGAGGCGCCCGTCGCAGAGGCCGCTCCGGCGCGCGAGGCGGCCGTCGCGGAGAGCTCCGAGGGTGCCGTTGCCAGCCTTCGGGGGTGGGGGGCAGGGGAGGGTCAGATCGAAGGAATCAACACGGGACCATGGCCAAGATGTCGCGGAGTGTTGTCGATGCCGATTTTGTTCATGGCTCATGTTGGCAGTCGAGATTCGCGAGGATGATCCACGAAGTGACGTTGACCAAGATCGACGGCGACCAAGATCGACACGACGTTTCTGCGTTCAGTCTTGTTCATGGTCCCCGTTTTCCTCTCCTCCATTAGATGCTCTGCTTGGGGACCTTCCTGGGGCCCACCTAACGGATCTGTTCGGCTCTAGGTCGACTCTAGTTCGATCCCAGCTCGACACAAGTTCGACACAGGTTCGACTCAGGTCCGGTTCGACTCAAGTTCGACTCGAGTCGACGGGCGTTCGACGCAGTTTCGACGCACGAGTGGAGCGAATGGCTTCTCCAGGACGGTCCCCAGAATGAGCATCGAAGGAGGGGGGGTCGGACATCTGCGGATGCGCTCGCCGATTCTTGGAGGGGCTCCCGGCCTGGGGGCGCATTTCAGCAGTTGCGCCTCGCCGGTAGCGCTCGCGGAGTGCCTGCATCGTCCTTCGTCCTTGAAGGCAGTCGAAGACCCGAGATATGGCCCGAAAGCCGACTGACTTCTGGGGAGCGTGCGACGGGGGGAAGAGGCCCGGGGGCCCCCAAACGGTGCGATGACCACACCCACACCGTGTGGGGATTCAATGGGGATGCGGGGTCACATCACGGTTCGGGGTTGAGGGCGCATCTCCGATGTCGCTTCGGGCCGACTGGGGCCTCCGAGGCCACACAACGGTGCGGTGACGGGCTGTGCGGTGAGGTCTTTGGGGGTTCCGGGGCCACCGCGCGGTCCGTCCCTGCACCGTGTTGGGACCCCCCAAAAAGCCTGGGGGGGGGGCAAACTCAGCATCGATGACGCGCCGCCGTGGGGAACCCATGCGTCTTCGGACGGAAACGGAGGGTCACCGCGCTGACGGGCTCCCAGCGGTGGCGTGTCAGGAATGCTCTTTTTCTCTTCTCCCTCCTGGGGGCCCTCACGTCGCCGCTCAGCAAAGGTGAGGATTTCGGGGATTCACCGCCTTGGCCTCCGTATTCGGAGGCCCCACCTATGAGGGCTTGACGGCCTGGCATCGTATGTGACCGAGTTGGGCCTCAAATTCTTGGCCCAATCGGAACCCACAAAGTCGGGGAGTGGGGTTGTCATACCCTCCGCGATCAGATCCGCCTGGCGCCAACAAATCGCGACGGTTGGTTTTTCGTAGTTTTCGGCCTTTGGAGGCCGTTCCTAGCCCCAGGATTGCGAACAAAACGACTCGTAATAGTAGACATTTTGCCGGGTAAGTGGTAGAAAACCTAGTTCTTCTTGCCGTTCTTGCTTTCCCAGGGGCGGCAAAAAGGGAGGTGGGGGGGCAGTATCCAATACATTATCTAGGCCTCCTAGATGGGGTCGGAGCAGATTGGGTCGGAGGATCGCGCCGCATCGCCGATGCATCGCCGATGCGGCTCGATGTGCAGCCCGATGTGCTTCGCGTCGACGCCGCCGATGCATCGCCGATGTCAACGATGCATCGCCGGTGTATCGCCGATGCATCGCCGATGCATCGGCGATGCGGCGCGATCGTCCGACCCCATCTGGGAGGCCTATACATTATGCCCCCCTCTTCTTCAATGCGTTCCCTGCCCCCCCCCCCTCCCCGCCTCGCCCGCGCACATGCCGCGGGCCACGGTGCCCTGCCCCTGCTCTTGGGCGCACCTGAGGGAGGAAGAGGAGGATGCAGAGTAAGACAAAGTGTCTGCCAGCCTTCCCCTCCCCCTCTCCCCGAAGAAGAACACATTTGCATAGTCATACACTTTCGGAGTTCAGGCGGATTTCTTGGGTCGGCGCTGGACTCCCTATGTCTATTTGCCATGGAGCTGGAACAACTTTCTGGGGCCAGCCCTTCCAATCTTTCTAGCCCTGGCCAGTCTTCCTCGAAAGTCTCCATCCTTGGCGTTCTTCTCTGAATTGTGTCTGGTTCGTTTCAGCCTTTGCCTATTTCAATATAGGCATGGCCGCTTCCACGTTCACGGGATTTCCAACTTCACTCTTTCCAGTTTCTTTGTAGTGGTGTTCCTTCCAGGGTAGGACAGGAAATACGATGTGGAGGATGCTTCTGTTCTGCTTCCTCCCTCTCTCCTTTCCGTCTCCCCCCCTCTCCCAGTTCTTCCTCCAAAGGTGCCGCCGCCAACACCTCGGAGAACGCCACGGAGGTGCAGGCGGACGAGAACCAGAGCAGGGCCAACCTGTCCACGTACTTCGACCCGAAGCTGATGGCCATCTTCCGGGAGAAGCAGGCGCACCTGAAGGAGACGATGAAGGATCCTCATTGCCAGGGTATACGCAATTTCCACCGCGTTTCAGTCGCAATTGTGGCCCTCGAGGAGTGATTGATCCGGATATATGCCCTCCCTTGCGGACGAGGCAACGCCCGTATCCATAGCTCCTCAGGTGCCCACGGCGGAACTCGAGACGTTGTGGATATGGATTTATCTTTGCGCGGCAGGACTTCATGGTGTCGAAGAAGGAGCTTGACGTAGCCAAGCTGGCCGCGAATTTGGCGATGAAGAAGCTGAGGCTGGCGACCGAGAAGCGCAGGAAGATCCTGATGGGCGAGAGGATGGCCGAGGCCGAGGAGCGTCGGGCGATCAAGGAGAGCCGGCGGCAGGCCAAGACGGACATGACGGCACGCGCGGAGCAATTGCTGGCGGATTCTTTGGGCGGTCTCTCGGGTGTGAACATGAGCTACATGGTGGACGTCGTCCTGGCCCTGCCGGAGGCACTGCAGGACGAGGAGTTTGTGGAAGACTTCCGCAACGTGACAAAAAGGGTGGACGTGAATGTCCGGAAGTTCCTGGACCAGACTCAGCAGAAGACCACCCAGTTCGTCAAAGACAGCACTTCCGCCTCTGACGTGGAGCTGCGCTTCATCATGGCGAAGTTCTTCCACGAGTCGGGCTTCCGCCTCCGCGGGCTGCACCAGGACAGCCTGAAGGCCATCCAGATGCTCAGGCGCACGGTGCCCGAGGACTTGGAAAGGGCGCTCTTCCCGTTCCTCGGGCAGCTGAACGCCAACACGGTCCGCCTCAGGATCAATGCCACCAGCCTGGCCACCGCCACCCCGAAGGAGGCATGCGACCAGATCACTCAGATCATGGCAAACGTCAGCGATTTCGATTCAAGTGGCTTGTGCCATTCCGCCGACACCCGAAAGGTGGATAGGCGAATGCATTTGTTCCGCATCCCCGACAGCCTATCCAGAAACGATGCCAAGCGAACAGTCGGGATGCGATGAGCATGTAAGCATACAGTGAAGCAGTAAGGCCAACAGTTCTGAGCTGAGAAACCTCTTGGAGGCTTCTTGGTGTTATCGAAGAGTCCCAATGGGGCCCGTTTGGAAGTGTTTGTGTCCCTTGGCGGATTTTTCGGAGGCTCTCATTTGGACCGCGGAGCCTTCTTGAAGCAATCATCCATGGATGCCATTGATCCAACGAAGGGGGGGTCCTCAACTAGAGTCTCAGCTTCGACTACGAGAACTCAACTGTTTGGAACCTCTTTGGGCTCTCTTGGAGCGCTGGGCCCTCGGAGTTGTCTTGGAACGAATCTGGGTCGCTCCTGAGGCTCTCTTAGGAGATCTTGAGATCTTAGAGCCATCTGATGGCATCAGGAGGCCATCGGACGCGAAACGGGGCAAAGTTGAACTGTCCGTAGGCCCCGGAAGCCGTTTTGGGGCCCTTTGGCTGTGTGAGAGCTCTTGTGGAGCGAGTGCAACCTGGGCATCTGGGAGGCGGCGCCGGTGAGTGGATTTGGATGCCCTGAGGCCCTGGGAGATGCGCTGGGGAGCTCGTCCCCCCCTCCGCCCCCCCCTCCCAAACTGTATCTTTGACTCTGGGGAGCAAGAAATGGGGACACAGCCAGTCATTCCAGACGCCTTTGACCCCTGGCATGCGGGAGTCGGCGGATTCCAAGTTGGAGACCATCGGCAAGGTGATCGAGAACGTGTCCACGAGGGTGCTGCCCAACATGGAGAGGACTCTGCAGGTCTCGCCGAACATCACCACCTTCGTGGGCTCTTTCCTGAACATGGCGCGCCTGGAGGTGGGCGGCTTGCAGGAGGCGGCCCACAGCATGGTCACGCGGGCCAGCCCCATAATCGCTGAGCGGGTGCAGTGCACCTTCAGCAGCGCGCGCCCGCGCTTCGGCCTCAGCTTCCTCAGCGCAATGCTGGTGCTCCTCAGCGCAATCGCGATGTCCATGTGGTAAGAATGTTGTGCTTCTGAGTTGGTTCGCAGACGGGCGCTTTCTGCGTGCGTGGACACATTCCTGTCGGTGCGACCCTTCTTTGACCTTCAAACCTGCCGGGCATCAGACAAAAATGTCTCATCAGCAGCACGGGCAAGCACATATCGAACACGCAATTGGCGAATCATCGTCGCCCTATGCTTGTTGGAAACGCATGCGTTGCGAATCGTCGAGCGAGAGTGCGGCCACCCTCGTAGACTGCGTGTTCCCTCGGCAGTTGGGGAAGCCACTGGGGGAACATTGTGGAGGTGCAGTCCGGGGGCTATATTTGGAGTCTTGTCTGGCGTTGGTGCATTTTGGGGTGGCCCTCTGAGGCCATCTTTGGGCTTTCTGGGGCCGACTGTGGGCTCTGTTGGGCCATGTGGGGCTTTCGGAGGGCGTCTTGGAGGCCTCTATGAGCCGTCTTGGGATTTTTTGGGGTCCCTGTAGGGTCATCGGGGACTCATCTGCGGGCCTGCTGGGGCACCTTGGGGCCCTTCTGGTAATCTTTTCGGCCGTCTTTGGGTAATCTTGAATGCCTCCTGGTCCGACTTGGCTGGACGTTTTTCAGTCCATAACACACACACACACACACACTGGACATGTATTTAACATAGGTTAGGCGACGCCCTTCTTGGGGGCGTCTCGGCTGTCTTGAGACCATGTTGGTTCTTGGATCTTTGTGGGGCAGTCTGGTACCATCATGGAGGCATTTTGAGCACACCTGGAGGCCACGGGCCATCTTGAACCAACTCGACGGAGACCGAGGCCCTCCTGGAGCCGTCTTGGGCGGGGAAGCCATTGGGTCACACCGTCCATGGTCGCGTCTGGGCGGCTGGGGGGTGGCGCCGAAAGTTTTGGAAGGGCCAGGTAGTGGTAAACAGCTCACCGCACCTAGCACCGCCCGAGCGGGCTAGGGGGGCTGCGGATCGAAGCCGCCTGCGGCGGGTCATCTTCGTCCCCTGTCTTTCTGGAAACGCCTATGTGGCCAAACGTCGTGCCAAATGCTAGCAAAGCTATAGGACGGGTGGTAGCAGGAGAGATGAAGAGGAGGTGGCCTCCTGGAGACCATCATGGAGGTCGTCTTGGCCTACTTGGAGGACACCTTGGGCCATATTGGCACCACCTTGAGTTCATTTGGCCATTTGGAGGCCTCGTGGGCCACCTGAGGCTGTCAGAAGCCTGGAGTGTAAGAGCCCGGGCATCGTTATGGACATCAGTGGGACTGTTTATGTTTCTTGTTACACATCGGCACCCTCTTCGGGGTCCTCTTGAAGGCATCCCAGGTCCAATAGAAAACTGCATACGCCTAATTTTTGGAGGTCCGCGCGGATTTCTTGGATCTGCGCCCGACCCCCCTGGCGGCGCCTCCGACGCCGCCCCTGGCGGATCTAGCGCGGATCCACGAAATCAGTTTGGACCCCCGAGAAACCATGTTCATGCCGTTTTGCGTTTCTCTGATATTGGTCCTTTCTTCGGGGTCCTTTGCCCGAGGTGGCGGTGGCGACTTGCGGAACGATGGAATTTTGGGCTCGGCGACCTTGAGGAAATAATTACCCTTGTGCATATCCCCCCATCTGATTTTGTCGCACCCAGCACATTACATGCCCCATCCCGCATTGACCCAAGGCTCGCCAGAACGCTTGGTGCAACAGCGAAACATCCAATCCTGGAACCAAAATGGTTATGGAGGCAGCGAGGAGGAGGAGGAGGATAATGAGGAGGAGGAAGAGGAGGAGGAGGAAGAGGAGGAGGAATGTAAGGAGGAGGGAGGAGGCGCATGCGGAGGAGGAGGAGGAGGAGAACGAGGAGGAGGAGGGGGTGGAGGGAGGCGGATGGAGGAGGAGGAGGAGGAGGAGGAGGAGGAGGAGGTGGAGGCGGAGTTGGGAGCGGAAGAGGAGGAGGCGGAGGGAGGGAGGGAGGGAGGGAGGAAAAGGAGAAGGAGAAGGAGGAGGAGGAGGACGATGACGATGACGAGGAGGAGGAGGGACTCGGGGAGTATAGCCCGCCCGAGAGCCCGCCTCCCCCGCAGGACCCGCCGTACACTCGGGCAGCCAGATCCCCCGCGGTCGCGGGATCGGCAGGTGGATGGCGGCGTGCGGTGCGGGCTGGCAGCCGCAGCTAGCTTCGATCCGATCGATCCTCCTTATCGACCCTATCCTAGATTCGATCCTCATCCTCGACCCTTCTCCTCCTCCTCCTCCTCCTCCTCCTCTGTTCCTTCTCCTCCTCCTTTCCCGTTCTTCTGCCCCTCCTCGTCCTACCCCCTCTCCTCTCGCGCCTCGTCTTTCCTCTCCACCGAAGAGGTGTGCCGCCATCGCAGGGCCCGTTTCAGACCCGACTGTGGCCCCGACGATGACACCGACGACGAGGAGGAGGACGAGGACGATGACAACGTCGACGACAAGTCGGCGGCCATCCAGAGAGACAAGGCACGCCTTGCTCGTCCGCGTGTAACATGCCCAGAAATCGTTTCAGAGAGCGATCGCTCACACATCAACGAACGGCAAAGCAACGTATTGAGTAACGGTTGCCCATTCGGTACTTGGCCAGATCCCTCCATGTCATTGGCCTCCAAGCATCGCTCATCATTGACTGAATATCACAAGCGCGAACGGCGACCCTTCTCACTGTGCATTTATTCTTGGTGACTGACACGGAGGCACTGCAATAAACTTTCCATTCAAAGACGCGGCCGGTGAAACATCCAATCGGCCGGTGGGCAGATCAGCCGATGAAAGAGTTTCTGCCAGCTGGTTTGAGGGTCCTACCTAGCGGTGAAGGGAGCAATGCCAGAGGAGGAGGGCGGGGTGGTGGTGGTGGTGGTGGAGGGAGGGCGTCCGCGAGGACGAGCGGGGAAACTGGGACCGAAATGGGCTGGGACCAAGAAGCAACAGAAGAGCGGGTGGAACACACGAGGCGTTCGAGAAAGGGCCCCGCCTTCGAGGATCGAAGGAGTTGGCATCTTCCTCGGCGGGGAAAAGATCCCCCCCCAAGAGACGGCAACAATTTTGGGTTCAGGGTTCCCGGAACCCGCCATCAGGGTTTGATAGATGGGGGACCGAAGCAAAATCCCAGAACCCCGACGTCATGATCTTTCGCAACGTTTCCTGGGGACCAGATTTTCATCCTGAGTCGTGTTTTCACGGTCCCGGGGCCTTGCGAGGGCCCCCAGAGGCAGAAATTATATATTTAGCGACGGAAGCGCACGTCGTGATTTTTCCATGTCCCGAGGAGGTTTGGAAATTCTGGGCCGAAGCAAAACCGGGCCGATGTTGTTTGTTGTTTTGGCCAGCGAGTTGGCCGCCGCCATCGGGCCGGCCGGGGGGCGCAGCGGGGCGCGCTTCGACTCGCCGAGGTTGCTCGTGTCGTCCTCGCCGCCGTCGTTTGCGCTTGCTCCAGTGGTATTGGGAGGGTTATTGTTCGTACGGGGGGCAGGAGCAATTTGGGCTTCAGTTTTCTGTTGAATCTGGCAAGCCTTACGGCATCGCCCCGATTGGGCTTAAGTTCTTCCGTCGAGGCTACGTCCGGGTCTTTCGCGCCAAGGCTGATCGTGTCATCCTCGCTGCAGGACTTGCCGCCTAACCCCCTGGAGTTGTGCCGCGTGGAGACGCCCGAGGAACACATCTACCAGTGCGCCCCCGCCCCCTCTGCGGCGAAATTCCGATCCTCGCCGATCAACGATTCGGGCTGCTCGATGGGCGGCGGTGGCAACTAGAGTTCGGATTTCGTCAAACTCGTGGCGAAATTCGAAGCCTACCCGCGCCTTCATCGGTTCGGAAGAACTGATGATTGGTGGGGGTCGGGCGGAGACACCCGACGAGCACATCTATCAGTGCGTTCGGTCGCAAATCGCCGGAGCCTTGTTTATCCTTGCGACTTCGTCTTTAAAGTGCACACGGGTGCGCTAGTGTCTAGTAATCGATGAGAAAGTGCCGATGTAGCGTCGATGAGCGCCGATTTAGCGTCGAATGGCGTCGGTCCGAAAGAGCCAGCAGTGTAGCATGGGAGGCTCCGGGGCGTTGCCACCGAAAGTGCGCCCCCCGCCGCCCCCCCGAATCGGTTCGGACGAGTGGGGTGACTTTTTCGTGGTTTTCGGTTTCGAGCTTCGCAGTTGCCGAAGGTGCTGTAAGTTCTCAGCGGCTTTGCAGGCTCGGGAGGCCGTCCGGCAGCTGCGAGTCGCCGGGAGCGTTCCGGGGTGCCCGAGTCGTGCCGAGCGGGCGTCCGAGGCCCGAGCCGTGACCCGAGCAGACCTCGGGTGCAACGATAGGGGGGGAATACGCTCTGGGGGAGCGCATGGGCGCCCACTCGCCCATGGTCGGGAGCGGAAAAGAGGGGGGTGATGATAGGGGGGGGGTGGATTTCATGGCGCGGGCCATGATTTTTCCCCAGATTTCATGGTGCCTCTTCTTATTTCATTACGTCCCGGGCCCCCCTGCTGGGCCGCGCACATGCCGCCGGTCATGATTTGCGCCCCCCCCTCTTTGACGCCCCCCTCTTTGCCGCTCCCGACATGGATCGCCGATAGGGTTTGCTGGCCCCACCTCGCCCTGGAACGTGCAGATGTGGCATCGGGGGCATAAGGCTGATCTATTAGCGATATGTCGCCGATGCCGGGTCGATGTTGCTACGCAGGAGGTCTTGCATATTTCGGCCCCCTCAAATTCTCGGTTGGCAAGAGAACTCGTTTTTCGCCTCTTCACTCCCCTGGCGCTGTACTGGTAGGTGTTTGGAGTAGGAGTAGGGGACGGACTCGTCTGCGTATGTGTAGTCGTAGTCGTTCTCGTAAATGGTCGTAGTCGTGGTCGTAGTCGTCGTAGTCGTTATAATCGTAGTAGTCGTAGCAATCGTAGTAGTACGGGTAGTAGTAGTAGTAGTAGTAGTAGTAGTAGTAGTAGTAGTAGTAGTAGTAGTAGTAGTAGTAGTAGAAGTAGTAGTAGTAGTAGTAGTAGTAGTAGTGGTAGTAGTAGAAAAAGCAGTAGTAGCAGTAGCAGTAGTAGTAGTAGTAGTCGTAATAGTAGTAGTAGTAGTGGTAGTAGTAGTAGTAGTAGTAGTAGTAGTAGTAGTAGTAGTAATAGTAGGAGTAGGAGTAGTAGTAGTAGTAGTAGTAGTGGTAGTAGTACGACTACTACTAGTATTAGGCGCAGTCGTCAGCGTAGGTGTAGGCGTACTGGTAGTAGTATTCGTATTATTGTAGTAGTAGTAGTAGTAGAAGAAGAAGAAGAATAAGTAGTAGTAGTAAGAGTAGTAGACGTAGTAGTAGTGGTTGTAAGCGTAGAAGTGGTGGTCGTAGTTGAAGTCGCACTCGTAGTCGTAGTCGTAGTAGTAGTAGTAGTAGTAGTAGTAGTCGTCGTAGTAGTACTACTACTATTACTACTACTACTACTACTACTACTACTACGACTACTACTACTACTACTACTACTACTACGAGTACTAGCAAACATAGTAGTAGTAGTAGCAGTAGTAGTAGTAGTAGTAGTAGTAGTAGTAGTAGTAGTAGTAGTGGTCGTAGTAATGATAGTAGTAGTAGTAGTAGTAGTAGTCGTCGTCGTCGTCGTAGTAGTAGTAGTAGTAGTGGTAGTATTGGTGGTATTGGTAGTAGTAGTAGTAGTAGTAGTAGTAGTAGCAGCAGTAGTAGTAGTAGTAGTAGTAGTAGTAGTAGGAGTCGTAGTACCATCGGGGGTCTTAGCGTTAGTAGCCTTAGTCGTGGTAGAAGTAGAAGTAGAAGTAGAAGTAGTAGTAGTAGTAGGAGTAGTAGTAGTAGTAGTAGTAGTAGTATCAGTAGTAGTAGTAGTAGTAGTAGTAGTAGTAGTGGTGGTAGTAGTAGTAGCAGTCGTAGTAGTAGTAGTTGTTGTTGCAGTAGTAGTCGCACTATCACTGGTTGTAGCAGTAGTAGTAGTAGTAGTCGTAGTAGTTGCAGCAGCAGCAGCAGTAGTAGCGGTGGTGATAGTAGTAACATGAGACAGCATAGTAGTAGTAGTAGTTGTTGTTGTTGTTGTCGTCGTAGGCGTAGTCGTAGTCGTAGTGGTCGTGGTCGTAATAGTAGTAGTATAAATAATGGTGGTACTGGTAGTCGTTGTGCACGTAGTAGTAGTAGTAGTAGTAGTAGTAGTAGTGGTAGTGGTAGTGGTAGTGGTAGTAGTAGTAGCTGTAATCGTAGTAGTAGCAGTAGGACTCGTACTCGTAGCGCTTCCTAGTGCAACTATGATAATTGTTTTTAGTACTACTACTACGACAGCGACTACGACTACTAGTATTCATTTCATGTATGCCATCCTTATTACTGCTACTACTACAGCTACTACGGCGACTAATACTGCTACTATCGCTTTTGCGGCTACAACTTGGTACTACTATTGCTACTACTACTACACTTATTATCATTACGACTACTACTATTACTATCACTACTACATTTACTACTTTACTACTACTACTACTACTACTACGACTACCATTACTACTACTACTACTACTACTTCTACTACTACGACTTCTTCTTGTACTATTACTACCACTTCTACTACAACAGCTACTACTACGACGACGACTACTACTATTTTTACTACTACTACAACATCATTTACAAGTACTGCTATGACGACGACTACTACTACTACCGCTACTACCACTACTAAGTCAACTTCTACCACTACTATTACCATTGCTACTACTACTACTACTACGGCTACGAGTACGACGACTACAACTGCTACTTTTATTACTACCATCACCACTCTTACTTTTACTGCTACAACTTAGTAATCCTTCTTCTGTTCTTACAACTGCTACTACTACGGCAACTAGTATCATTACTACGACTACTACGACGACGACGACTACTACTACTATCACGACCACAACTACTACTATTACTACGACTCCTACTACTACTACTACTACTACTACTACTACTAGTACTACTACTACTACTACTAATACTACTCCTACTACTACTACTACTACTACTACTACTTCTTCTGCGAGTACTACTACGACTACGAGTACGACGACTACTATTACTACTACTACTACTACTACTACTACTACTACTACTACGACTACGACTGCCACGACGACAATACTACTACTATAGCTACGGTTTTTACTACTACTACCACTACTACGACTACTACTACTACTATTACGACTACTACTACTACTACTACTGCTGCTACTACTACTACTACTACTACTACTACTACTACTACCACCACCACCACCACCACCACCACCACCACCACCACCACCACCACCGCTACTACTACTACTACTACTACTACTACTACTACTACTACTACTACTACTACTACTACTACTACTACTACTACTACTACTACTACTACTACTACTACTATCACTCATTAGTCGTACTACTACCATTACTAGTGGTCGTTGGCGCAGTGACAGTAGCGGCAGCAGTTGGAGCATCAGGACGAACGTGTCTTTTCCCGCTGTGAGTTGTTGTGTGTTTTGAAATAGATGAGCGATTATTTGTCGCAGCGGATAATTCGCGGTGGGCTGCCCTGCGAGAGAAGTTCCGAGCCTCTTCTTCGCACGAGGGTGCCAGCGCAAATTTGCGTGCTCGAGCTTCGGAGGCAGAAGCATATAAGGGGTGAGGGCCTCTCCGCAGGCGCCAGCGGGCGGCTCAGGCGACGGCGGAGGCCTGGGCGTTGGCCGCGGCGGGGGAAGAGTTGCGACCCCCCTAGGCTGGGGAAGTGCATGAAAGACCTACAGCAATCCCCCCGTGAAACAGTTCCCCCTTGGCGCGCGCGCGCGCGGCGGCGAATTTTAGTGGGGGGCGTCGGCGGCCGTGTCTGCCGACGCGCGCGACGCCGCGGTGCACCGGCGCGCGGGAAGGCACGCCTGCGTTTCGACACTTGCGCCGCCTCAGCGCCCGGTGCGCGGCCGCCGCGGGCGCGCCGCGCAGGCGGGGCGCATTGCGAGGGCGCGGCGCCAGCGCGCTGCGAGTGCGCATCTGCTGGGGGAGGGTCGCGCCCCGACGCGCGCGCGCCGTGCAATCTGCGCGTTGCCTGCTGGCCGACTGGGCGGGCGCGCCCCGGCGCTCGCGCGGGCCGCGCAGGCTGCTTCGCGTTTCGTTTTGACCGACGGCGCGGGCACATAGGGGCGGGGATGTTTTCCCAGTTGCGGCGTGGCTGTATGGCTGTCGCGTCGTGGCCCTCTAGCTGTCGCGTCGTGCCTGTATGGCTGGTCGTTCGCCGCCCCGCGCGCGCGCGCTGTTCGCCGCCCCTCCTCCCCGCGCAGGCCCCTTTCCCGCTCTCGCCCCCGCGCAGGCGCAAGCTTTCTCTGCGTCGACAACGCCGAGCTCACTTGGTCAGCCAAGCTGTCTCGGAATCAAGATTGGGCCGGCGCAGTCGCCAGAGTCGCCCCGCGCGGGGGGCGTCGGGCCATTCGCGGGCGGGCGCCGCGCGCGCCGAGGCTGGGCGTTCGCGGCCCGCTCGGGCCGGCGGCCATTCCACGGCAGGTTCTCATGGATCTGCTTCGAACGTGCGCGACAGGCAGGGCCTGGGAAGACGCGGCGCTTGGGCCGACGGGGGCGGCGGCGATTTCGCGCGACAGAT